GGGTCGGGCCGGGCTCGGGCCGGGCTATTTTGACAAAACCCGAGCCTGGCTCGAATTTATTGCGAGCCGGGCTTTTTGGCCCGAATTTAAGCCCGCGGGCCTATAAAAATGTCCAAGCCCGTCCGGGGGTCGGGCCGGGCCGGGCCGGCCCATCGGGCCACCCGGCCCATGAACAGGTCTACTTACATTTGAATAGTGTACATGTACAAGTGCCTGCATGGAAGAATAGAGGGAAGGGAGGGAGATACAGGAATAGGCAAGTTCTAACCAAATAAAGCCCAACATAACACTAACAGAGATTTCGAGTTTCTCACCTTCACAATACTACCCTTTTCTTTGGGTAATGTTGCTTCAGTAGTTTCATCCAAGTCACTGCAACCAAATTTGTCATTACAGCTATCATCTTCAAATCCACTGCTAATGGCTTCAGTTGGCATTCCCGTAGAACCACTTTTACTATATACCAAATCTCCTATCACAACTCCATCAATTCCTACCAAAGACAATATTATTTTGTCAAGAAGCATGTATTCAAAAGTTCAAATAAAAAATAAGGGAAAATTCCACTTTAGTACCCTGAACTTTGGGGTAGTGTCAAGTTAGTACCTGAACTTTCAAACATGTCACTGCAATACCTAAACTTTCAAAAAGTGTCAAGTTGGTCCCTGCCGTTAACCAACCGTCAGTTATCTATTGAAAACATCAAAATTACCCTTCAAAAGAAGACACTGATCATTGTCTTCTACCTTGAGACTGAACCAGTTATCTTCAAAGAAAAAGAGAGAAAAAACATGAAATATGATAGAGGGAAACAATAACTGAAAGCAAAGAAATAGCTAGACAAGAATGTGTTTCAGATCTAAAGGTAGAAGACAATGACTTCATTAGTCTAGAATCTCAAACACCTCAGCCGGTTCAGTCTCAAGGTAGAAGACAATGAACAGTGTCTTCTTTTGAAGGGTAGTTTTGACATTTTCAACAGATAACTGACGGTCAGTTAGCAGTAGGGACCAAATTGACACTTTTTGAAAGTTTAGGTACTGCAGTGACACATTTGAAAGTTCAGATACTAACTTGACACTACCCCTAAATAGACATGTTCATGGGCCGGGTGGCCCGATGGGCCGGCCCGGCCCCCAGACGGGCTTGAACAGGTATATGGGCCGCGGGCTTAACCTCGGGCCAAAAAGCCCGGCCCGCAATAAATTCGAGCCAGGCTCGGGATTTGCCAAAATAGCCCGGCCCGGCCCGACCTATAATTAAACCTAAAAACCCTAGTCGAATACCCCTCTTTTTTTCACCTCTTTCCCTTATTTTTCCAGTCGAACCCTTCTTCTCCACATCCTTTTTCCCTTCTTTATATTCTTTTTTTAATGTAAATAAATTTTGAATTTATATTCTTTTTTTAATATAAATAAATTCTAATTTATATTGATTATTGAATAGGGAAAAATTCTAATTTTTTTTATTAGGTCAGGCTTCAGGCTCGGGCTCGGGCTCGGGCTTCGGGCTTTTTATCAAGGCCGGGCTTGGGCCCAAGTTGTAGGCCCGTTGGTCGGGTCGGGCTCGGGCCTAACATATTTCCATTAATGAAGAGTAAAAGCCCGGCCCGGCCCTGGTCTACCCCCAAAGTTCAGGGTACTAAAGTGGAATTTTCCCAAAAAATAACACCTTTCCTCAGGGTGGTTGATGTAGATCCCTTTTGTGTCTAATGATTTGTTTTACTTATATGTATCAACAAGTTAATTGAAATGAGGGAAATAAAAGAATAAAGTCAAAGGAAAATGGCTAAGCAAACCTAAATTATCACTGGTACAAGGCATGATAAGTGAGGGAATGCAACTGGAGTTATGGTGGAAAGAGTATACCTTAACATCAGAAACATATTTCCATGTCTCTGAAGAGATGATAACATTCTATACTCTTGATAGTTTGCATACACTCATAGCTAAGCAAGCTAAGTAAATTGCTATATATGTTTTTTATGCAATAATGCATACAGATTATTTGACAAATAATACAAAAATCACTTTATAATTTACAAAATACAAAGAAAAAAAGTATCCAGCTACATCAATCACAACAGAATTATTTGGAGATAGGCAGAATGAAAACCTTTTCAATTCCATGTCAAAACTAACCAAGCCCATAACCATCAAATGTCTATCTAGCCTCTTTTCTGTTTGACTATGTTATATCTGTTGAGCTGCTAGTAACAAAACAACGATAGACTGTAACACATCACAGTTTTATGCCAACTKTCCTCGACAAAAAAGAAACATGAATTTGGGACATTGTTTTCCGAAACCCCCATGTGTTGAGGATAGATGATACAAAACTGTGATGTGCCTAGCATTGTTTGCCACTAGCAGATCTGGAATCATGTTTATGCTGTGCTCTGAACATTGCAGTGGACAATGTCAAACAATTAAGTTATGGGCTCAAGCCCAAGATATGGCACAAAGATTACCATACAGTATCAATTTAATATTTTAGCCTCAAACTGTATCAAAGAATTTAAAAACGAGGCGCCGTGAGTCCTGAACTTAAAAGCAACAAAATTCTTAAGAGGGTTTATTACACCTTTGTCATTGATTAGATATCCAACCATTATTTGAATAGAATGAGACAAGAAGAAGAAAACAAGAATAGATAAATGCATAGTATTCCTTTCAATACACCCCATAATACCATTCCTTGAATCTACACTGGTTATTTCCTTCATATGACAAGCCCAAAATTATCTAACATGCAAAAAGACTACATACCATGTCTTTGCACCCTAATACTTGCAGCATGGTTCCACAAATAACTTTGGTAGCTATGGACATACCTAAACACAGAATAGAAATGCCAACATTACCAGAACATCCAAACATCCAATCTCGGCATTAGAAGACCATTGGGTTGGCTACTGAGATTTAAGCAGTAAGATGCACCTAGGATAGGTAGCCTAGATGCATCTTATATTCATCTGCATAAATGTGGTTATGCACTCACAATAGATCTGATCAAGGATGGTATCATTGCTTGTAAAATGATAACAGATGGCAATCACATTACCATCACCATCACCACTGAATCTACAATCTTCTTTTTTTTAATTGAAAGGAAAAGTATGGCATCACTGAATCTAATCTTGATGCCTTAGATACATCTAATGTTCCATCACATGAGTATGGGTGTGTCAACCTCTATAGTGCACACAACAATGTGTTCAGTCCATGGTCATCATCACCACTGCAATCATTACCATTACCGACTTTACAATCTTCATGTAGTTGAAGAATTATAAATTATTTAAGTTTTATGGTTCTAAATAAGAAGAAGCTCTCTAGGAGTCTTGTTCACTTTATTATGAGGGTTTTAGCTTTTTTAATTGGTTTAATATTAGTATCCATGCTCCTACTTCCCAGAGTTATTAAAAGTCTAAATATATTACTAGTGTCAAATTACAAATTCTTTCATTTTTTCTTCTTTCTTTATTTTTTCATACTCACCAAAAAAGAGTTGTTGAAAAAAATAACCTTCTTAAACAAATAAAACAGACGATTCCTCCTAATGTCAACAACTAAAAACACTAAAAAGATTGAAATGTTAGTCATACAACCACTTCAATGAACTCACTGTCAAAATCAGTGATTGATCAAGCTTATGACATTAAGACTGTAACTTAGAAAAAGTAGAACACAAAGTTCTCGGCCTCTCGTGAAACTTCATGAAACATTGATGTTTGAGATATAATGAACAAAATATTACTAATACTTCACAGGCATGTAATTGTAGAGCAACAACAAAAATTTTTCTTGCCACTTAAATTAAGAATTTTGCAAAAATACTAACAAATTTCAGAGAAGTTGCACTCCATATCTAGAATAGTATCTTACATCATTCTCAGTGTCCTTGGTATAGCCTTCAAGGCTTGCAAATAGTTACCGGGGCACTTCTTCAAACATTGAAGCTGGTTGAGAAAATAAGAAATACGTTATTTTTTTTATCAGCAAAACACATTATGTTAAGCACAAAATGCAAGAAATATAAAAAGATAACCATTGCACTTTTTTTAAAATTTTTGATCAGCAAGAAAATTGTATTGTATTAAAATGATAATCTGGATATTACAATGACATGGAGTATCCACCCATAATCTTTATTGTGTTTAGGCTTCTTGTAGTATTCACTGATAACATCTTTCTTCCCAGTGTTAACCTTCAGCTTCATCCCGGCATTGGCATAGTGGTCAACCAGCGATTCGACATACTAAACTTGTCTTCTGCTCTCCTCACTGCTCACCATAGCATAAGCCTGAGACAAAGTCACCTCATCCTTTGCTAAAACGTTATGCCTCACAATATCATACTTTGGGTTGAGTCCGATGAGAAACTCAAAGACCCGATTTCTCTCCACCAACTTCCTATATGTTTTTGCATCCTTTATACAACCCCAAACAATAGTCTCCATCAAATCAATCTCTTGCCAAAGAGATTTCAGCATAGAGAAGTAGACGGCTAAGGGCTTCTCCTCCTGTCTTAGATTATTCACATCATACTTCAATTTGTAGGCCTAAGCAACATTAAGCTTTTAGGAATAGGTCTTTGTGACACTTTCCCACACTTCTTTGTAGTTTCTATCCACAGGTAATGCTGACTAATGTGTGGTGGTTGCATAGAATTCACTAACCAACCCACTACTGTGTAGTTTTCCTGCATCCACCTTTCATAGGTAGAATCGTCCTCCAATTTCTTCTTGCTCCCAATAATGTAACCCCATTTCCCTCTACTACACACATGTATCTTAATAGATTGAGACCAAGCTAAATAATTGGTCCCATCTAACTTCATAGTAGTCACAACCCCAAAAAGATTTTCCACTAACCCCCCATGTCTAAACCCGGAATTTGTGGAATATTTGGTCTCTCCTCCAATTTGCTCCATTGAGTGAACAAATACGAGTTTTACTAGGTTAGATTTGTCGTTCTAAGCAAAGAACAACCCTTCAACCTCCCAAAAACAGGGTTTCATAGGACCCAACATGATGGGGAGGAAGAGAGAAACTTCAACCGTTCCTACCAAAGGTTCCAAAACTCAGTCCAATCAAAACCGCCCTCAATAAAAATCAAAAGTCTTACCTCTAATCCCTAAGCGTCTGGTTCAAAATGTCTCTACAACCTATAACAAGATTTCTCCAGTTATCTAGGGTTTTCGAGAAGAATCTCCAAGAACCTATCTTGGGCTTCAACTAAGGATGAAAAACTTCCACAAAAACTCTCCAAAAACCCTCCTAACTAGGCTGCATGAGTTGCTGATTGATCAACTGATCAGTTCTCCATACACACTGTGTATGGGCAAAGAAAATAGAAAGAAGTCGAAAGTGAGAACCTGCTTTGATACCAAGTTGAGAAATACACCTGCAGTAATTCAGAAAATATAGGAAAAGAAAGAAAGAAAGAAAGAAAGAAAGAAAGAAAGGAAGAGAAAGAAGAAGAAAGTGATTTCAGCAGTAGGTTGTGGAAGAAGAGAAGGGAGGAGAGAAAAGAAGAGTTCAAACCTCTCTCTCTAGCCCCCTTGATCTCTTTTATTAACTTAATTCTAAAATTAAGTACAATTACCTGGATGCCCTTAATGAGGTGGCTAGCACTAAAGAAATAATTAAAGAGAACAAAAAAAAGCTCAAAAGTAAGGCCAATAACCAACAAACGTATACTTAAACACTACTTAAAAGAAATAAAAAACACTAAGGCTCATTCTGCCCATTCTCACTACAATATTATCTATCAAATTTACCCTTTTAGGCATAAAATATTATAAAAATTACAAGAAAATTAGGAAACCTTTATATTTTTAACTCAACAATCGGTTCAGATCTTAATCAGTTCAGAACAAGCAAGAACCAAAACCGGACCAGTTATTAATTGGGACAAAATCACAGAACCAGAAACGTTATAATTGGTTTGCTTTGGTCAGGTAGAACTGACCCATTGACAGCCCTATGTATTGAGGATCTCCGCAAGGAGGCAAACAGTAGTAATTTCTTAGTTATATTATTGCCATTTTGGGATTACAGGTAAGTCTGGTTTGAGTAAGTTAATTATAAGCTAGCCATTTGTATTTTTACGTTTTCTTATCATCACTTCTTTAATACAGTTCTTGATGATCTGAAATTGATCAAAAGAATATTAAACACATATAACACACATGCATATGAGCATCAATCATGAGAAACTTACTATAGCCCTTTCAGCAACTAGATGGTGAGGCAATTGTCTAAGAGTCCCCTCAATATCACCACTGTCCTTATAATATTCACGTGCCTTCCGTATTCCTTCACGCTGTTTTTTTTTCAAAACAGTTAAAGAAAAAAACGGTTTTTCTGATTGTGCATCAGAGCCTAAGCACTTATTTTTATCTGAGGTATAAACCCTCTCTTTTCAAAAAGGATATCCCCTTCTCTTGGATCCAGAATCATGCTTACAGCCATTTTCCACTCCCCTCGAAGTAATGTGGCTCCAATGAGGTGATTTGGCATTGAACCACTCCCAAAACGCTGAAAACCATTGCAACATCAATTCAATAACTTCAGTAACCATAAGAGTGTAGGAACCTTCGTAGACTCATCATTAGCTATAAAGAAATGCAAAAGCTGGGGAAAAAAAAAAGAAAAAAAAACATACTGATTAAAAGAGGACATGTGTCACAAAGGAGAGGACTAAAGGCACCATCCTCCTTTGCAGTACCTTAATGTGACATACCAAAAGGAAAGGATCCATCATTCTATGGTTCCAATCTAGGACTTTCACAGTCAGTGCAAGAGGTCCATCACAATTTACTGGATTATCTTAAGCATAAACCATTTGGACCTTTCTAGGACCCATTCACTATAATGTGAACAATCAGTGCAAGAGGTGAAATTATTCAAATAAATCTACATATTGAACATGCATGCAACAAGAAGGATCATGAAGATACATGAATGCTTTGAGAGAGATTCAACTTTTGATAAGATTTTACTGTTAGTTTCAGCTGGGTAAAGAGACCTGCCAAAGCATAGCTGGTGCTCTTGATACAAGGCATCCAAAGACGCCAGTTTTTTGCGGGTCTGCTTTTTTGGGGGAATAATTGTATGTAAAAGGGTATTGGCAGGGTAGCTTGGGATCTATCCAAGGACCAGGGTGTTTCCATTTATATATTCATACTAGGTACTGCTTGTACATGACCCATGTAATGTGCTGTTCTTAAGTAATAAAGTTGCTGTTACTGATCAAAAAGAAAAAGAAAAAAAAAACATCATGAAGTAGTATATTTTAAGTGACAATGAGAATCTAATGAAACAGAAGAATTACTTGCAAGCCATAGTAGTTGATAAACCCCTTCTTTCCCAAGGCATCTACGGCTGCTTTAATAGTATCTTCAGAATCTGCAACAACTCCTCTGAGAAGATATGTGAATGCATACCATGAAGATTTGAACCAATAAAAGAAATCATAATGTCATTTTGTGTGCGTGATGTTTAACATCATAAGTAAATTATGGGAAAAAGGTAACTTACCTCAATGTGATTGTGAAACGATTTCCTAGGAGCTGCCCGAGAAGAAGTTCTTCTTTGACATGGCTGGAAAGACAATACATATTTAATATATGTTGACATTATAGAATAATAAAACAATAAAGGAGCTTGTCAAAATCTTACCAAAAGTCTCCAACTTTGATACCAATTAGTCTGTCATTGAGAGCAGCCAACCTTTTTGCATATTGCTTGAATACAGTTACCTGCAAAGAAGGAAGGAACTCTATGAGGACCATGTCCTCCAAATGAAGTCATCATCACAAAGCTTAAAAAAGAGAATTCCATTCACCAAAAAGATTTCATCTTTTCTTATAGAAAATAAGAAATTTTCATTAAAAAAGAAGAAAATACAGGTGGGCAGGTATACAAGTTTTGTGGACCAAGCATCCCAGGAAAGTCTCCTCGTCCGCATAATACTCTCCATCCTCATAGCCTACATTCATCAAACATCCTGCTATCTGTCTTCTTCCCACAGTATCAAGCCCTTAATTTTCCTTTCCACCACCTCTTTTAACAATCAGATTACACCCCTCTTCTTGACATCTCACCACATCCTTCTACAAATAAACCTCCATCCACCTCCATGGTTGATCTAAGATCTGTATCTCTCAAATAGAACCAAAAATTAAAAAAAAAAAAAAGAAATCACCTTCATCTTGCAATTGTATCCTCGTCAGAATTAACAGAATCCCTTCTTCTGTAATGTAACTTTCACCTCCACAGGGATGAGGTGCTATACACAAGTCCTGTAGTTAGCAGGTTACAGATGCAAAGCTTGACAAGCAGTGCACACAGTGGTGAGTGATCATAAAGATGTTAAGAAAGAGTTCTAGCTTTTAGTCTAGCCATGATCTGAAAAAGGATGAGCAAAGCATGTCTGGTGAGGTGTTGTATCTATAAGTCAGCTTTTTTGATATGTCAGTTAGTATGTATACCAAGACCTCAGAATCTTGTAGCTCATATACTAGTGAAAGAAGATAGATCAGAAACAAGGTCTTTGAAATTTGTAAGTCAACCTCCAGATTGGATATTTTTTTCTATTAGTCACTCTGGAGAATTGATCTGTAATTCAATCATGAATGAATGACACTCATGCTTGCCTCTTTTGTGGGGAAAAAGACCATAAATAGGGATAGCAGTAAGGATGTCCTAAACAAGGGGTGCTTGACACTTGTGAATATCCATTCTTTTATTAGTCTTCCAATAGGAAAAAAACAATGTAACAATAAAAACAACTATAGACATGTGAAGCACAAAAAATGAGCAACAGATTTACCCTTTGAGTCGAAACAGAACGTTTATCTTTTGTACCCGCAAATCCAAATGACCTTTGCTGTCAAAAACACAATAGTCAAAAAAAAAAGGAGGTGTTCTGAAAGTACAAGGACCATAGAATATAGATATCCAAAAGTAACAGATTATCTGAAATGATTGAATAAATGGAAAAACAACAGAATCCGTAGTTTATAACCTATAATAAAATAGAGGAGCCACTCTTTTTTGGTCAATTTCCTTATTTTTATTTCCAATTCTACCCTTACACTTTGGCCAAATTACAAAAAAAAAACAGTAAATAACACCAGGATCTTACATCAAAAGTATAGGGCATTGTCTGTTTGTCAATCAGGATGATTATTTTCTCCGCATTTGTTAAAATAGTTGAACTGTGGTTTAGCTATTTAGGTTGAGAGAAGGTATTGGATTTTTAGGCACTTGATAAGGGAAATCAGAATTTTGTCATCCCACATGAATTGCTCATTCAATTGAATGCCTAGATCTGCTCTTGCCAGGGAAGGAGTGTCTAGAAGGGAATTAATTTGGGGAGCACCTCATCCAGGGAGGGATGTATAAAATTGTTTAGTGGTTTGTTAGTGTTAATGAATTGAACCAGGGCAGCTTTCATCTGTTGTAACCTTATCCTTCATTCCTATAAATAGGGGTGATCATGGGCCAGGCCGGGCCAGGGCTAGGTTTAGCACCCATGATAAATGCTTCAGCCTAGACCCAGGCTGGGCTTATGGGCATTCCAGACCTAATGAAAAAAATTAACTATTTGAAAATTTTTTAATTAAATAATATATAATACATGAAGAAAACACTGCACAAACCCAAACTAGGCTGGGCTTGTCTAGGTTTTGGGCCTATTCCACAAAAATAAAGGAATGAACTTCATTTAATTCTTAAACTTGGTTTAGCTTGGTTTACCTATTCTTTTATAGATGAAGGCAAGGCATTCATTTCCATTCTTGAGGAATGTGGGACATGGAACAACACTCAATAGTGGGTTAAATCAGTGGGGTTGTTTGTTGATTTTACAGCAAGTAAAATTATGAGAAATTGGAAGGAAGGGGCTGGTTCAGATCAACATTAGATTGTTACCAGTCCTGTTTGGTCCCCTCCACCCCAAGGTTTCACTAAATTAAATTTTGATAGGAGTAGCACAGGCAATCCAGGTCCTTCAAGCATTGGTGGCATATTCAGGAATGAGGAGGGCAATATTATTGGTCTATTTTCTGGGCCAATAGGTGTAGGAGACTCTTTGAGGGCTGAGGTTTAGGGCATGATGGAAGGGGTTCAAAGAGCTAAGGATATGCACATTAGTAGGCTGATTATTGAAAGAGATTCAAGGCTGGTGGTGGGTTGGCTACAAATGGAAGAAGCTGGGTTGTGGAAATACAACAGTGAAAGGAAAAGGTTCAAATGACTGACTCGAGGAATGGAAGTAAGAGTTAATTGGGTTAAAAGAACTGCTAATGGGTTTGTCGATGCCTTGACAAAACAAGGGGTGGGAAGAAATCAGTTGCTTTGGGCTCAACTGTAACAGTTTAATATGTGAATTGTGAGGAGAGTTAAGACTTTTTATCTCTCCTCCTTGTATTTTATCTTTTTATCTTAGTAAAATTTGCAGTTATTGATCTCTCTCTCTCTCTCTCTCTCTCTCTAATAAGAAATCAGTTGCTTTGGGCTCAACTGTAACAGTTTAATATGTGAATTGTGAGGAGAGTTAAGAGTTTTTATCTCTCCTCCTTGTATTTTATCTTTTTATCTTAGTGAAATTTGCAGTTATTATCTCTCACTCTCTCTCTCTAATATTATATATATATATAATATAAAAATAATATATATTATATTGCAGGCTGGGCTGGGATTGAAGTGTTGGGCCCAAGCCCAACCCTGAATTTTCTGGACTTAATGATACAGACTCAGCCCAGGCCAGGCTTGCATACAAAAACCTGAGCCTGGGTCCAGAAGTTTTCAGCTTGCACACCAAAATGGTATTTATACATGGGCCTCCAATACTCACAATGCACCATAATTTATTGCCTTAAAAACCTGATTAATAAAATTCCAACCCTCCTAAGGTCAACCTATCAAACATTAGCCCTTGCATGTGATAGTGCATTTAATCTTTTGTCTCCCATATTATTGCACGGGACCATTCCTCACTCTGGGGACACATATTACATAGTCCCATTATAGACCCTAAATCCTAATAACTTGTGTGTTGGATACCTAATGATCAAGACCCACCATTCAATGTGTTAGACATAAAAGAGGACATATACCTAAACCCATCATGATCAAATGACTTTCAACCATGTGATTCCATGCATTGTTAAATCTGGTATGGAATTACTGGGGCTGGGAATTGACTTGTAATTTCTATTGTCAAGTCATAGATTTTTAGCCAAAGATGGCTTTGTATTTCTTTGGCTTCGACCCAGTTTTTTGGATAGTGAGAAGTTTCTTAAATAAATATGGTTGCTTATCCAAAAAAATTACCGTCTTTTTCTACCAATAAAGAAAAAAAAAAAAAACTAACTGTCCTTTCTTTTCTTTTCCCTCCCATTATTCCCCTAGATTAGTAAGTGGCAAAAGATAATGAGACAATGAGATGCAAAGTAAGAAATACATGACCATATTAAAGTAAAAAAAAAAAAAAAAAACAAATGCACCTGGATACCAAGCATTTTTCCTAAGAGTCCTAGAACCTCTTGAGTGTCTTTGTTCTCTTTATAAAGGTGAAACCTGAAGGAATACAAAGATGCTGCATTTTAATAATTTAGCAAATTAACCTCATATGCTGAACTCAAAATGATAGGAAATAATATGGTTCTGAAATACAAGAAATCTAGCATGACAACATAGAAGTAATATGTCTCTTAAGGTCTAGTGGTATGCATGCTAGGCGCTGTCCCCTTAAGATCCCTCCAATCAAAAACATGTAACACCAGATCACCATTTCTAGAAAACCAGCAAAGAAAACACAAAAGAGCATTCCAATTCAACTTTGGCAGGTTTCCAGATATTAACAAGTGGAACTGTACCAATCATTTTCTGACCAGATGCTTTTGTACATAGCATAAACATCCGCCTTACCTTTCTTAAGAAAGTTGCATCACAAATATTAGATGGTGAACAATCAATCCAGTGCAGAACCATCTTTAAAGTAAGGACAAAAGGATTACCAGATCAAAGATATTCTTAATTCATATAGAGAGGATTTTTTCATATACTAATAGGACAAGACTCAATTTATGATCTCATGGCCAGTCAAAGTGGTGACCATAAAATTAAATACCAAGAATCTGCACCAAGGATTTTGTAGAATAAAATTTCCCACTTCTTCTGCAACCTGCCCACTTTGGATCTATTTACCTTTCCCTGACATGGTGGCTCTTATGATTTTTGAGAAAAAACAAAACAGAACATATCTATCTGAAGTTAATGTACAAACAGTTCTGCCTGAATTTAGATATTGTTCTTTTATGATAATAAGGGTGATCAGAAAAAATGAACTTTTCCTGGGCTAATTGCAAGAAAATTAAAATTCAAGAGATGAATCATCATCAAATAAATATGGCACAGTTAAAATGATTACAGGTTATTTATTTATTTTTTTTTTTTATAAGAAAATGACTATGGATTTTTAACAATCTCTTTGGCATGCCTCTTCTAATGGAAGGTCAATCACAGACCATGCATATTTGTTAGCATTGTATATTACTACAATACAGTGTTAATGAGGTAGCTGTTTCATTCAGAAGAGACCATGCTTTTAGGTGACATTTATATGTGAAATACTTGTTGGCTGTCCTTTTTCTGCAATGAAAGTTTATTATTACCAATAAAAAAGGAGTTCTCACCATCCAAGGCAAAACAAGAAAGGCTAGAAAGAACAACTTGAGTAGACATTTCATGAATTCCCTGCTTGTATGGTATTTGATTATGATATAACTACAAAAGATAACAAGAGTTTATAACAAAAGGGAAAAAGAGTACAGTAGCCATTCACCTAAGGAACTTGCCAACATGCTCAGGCCAATTATTCGAACCTCTGCTGTCAAAGGGCTTGTCTTTCCTGTCCTTTCGTTTCTTCGAGTTCCTGGCATTGCTATCTTGCCCTATGGAACTTAACCTCACACGAATGCATTTCAATGTATCATCTGGTCCGTCGACTGTGTCCGTTAGAAGGAACTTAAAATGCTCCTTGAAGAATTTATGAACTGCCTGAAAAACTTCAAATAATCAACAATAGGTAATACTCGATCGAAATGAAAACATCGAATTCAGAACTTACCGTTCTATGCGACTTGTCAGAATCCGGAGAAAGAACAATTGGAGAGACGTTGCTTTGGCCACCAGAAGTAATTTGATTGAGAAGAGATTTTAGAGATTCTGCATCAGAGTCGCCAGCGAGGGCCCTAAATAATTCAATTTCCGATGTATAAGTTTTATATGTTTGGTCAGGGATTCCCCTTTCCTTTTCCATTTCTGCTACAATCTGGCAATTTAAACACAACGAATATCACATTCTCGATATTTAAAAAAAAAAAAAAAAAAATCGAACTCGTTGCACGCGTTTAATCAAATGTATGGGAAAAAAAACAAACAAGTAAGTTAAATTACTTCAGGAGGTGCATCCAAACACGTAAGGTGAACAACTTTTCCATCTGAATCTACTTCATTCACGATAAAATCGGAATACCTGCAAAAAATGCATTGAAAACTTAAAACAGACAAATAAAATGGGGGAGGAAGTGAGGAACAAGAAAGAAAATGTCTTTTGAAGCTAAATAGAAAACGGAGAAGATCGAGACCTTTGCTTCAGAACGGCGTGAAATCCAGGGAGATGAGAAATGTAACTGTAGATGCCGACGCCGGCTTCATTGAGGGTTGTCATAGCTAGGGTTTCTGCTTTAGTGGAGTTGCAGTGGTAGTAATAAGGTTTTAGCTTGAAGGGTTTTAGCAGAGCCAACACGGTGATGGAAGGTGGGAAGCTCCACAGTTTGTCAGACCACATTGACCGTTACGCGTGTACAGTGTACAAACTACAATACAGATTTGGAGGTTGGAAGTTGAAGTCAGGAAGTTGGAAACTTGGAACTCGAATGTCTTCGATTTCCGCTGCTGCTTTTGATGGGAAATTCTATTAGGTGCATTTGGGTCCATCTTTATAAATGCATATTAGCCATACAACGTATGGTGGCCCACCAAACTCACCATTCTGGATAATTCATCCACGGACGGTGCTGCAAATGGATCGAAACTAATCGAATATATAACCGGATATGGGTAGATTCATCGGTTCCTATCTATGGGATTATACCGGATTCGAATCCAATTGGAATTGCAATTGGATATGGAATTAAAAATCACCAAATTATTATACATTATTATTAAAATGAACTAAAATGATATGGTATTTCATAAGAACAAAATAAATTGAAAATTAGTTAGGGAAAATTCCATCATTACCTTATACTTTGGCTCAAGTTGTAATTTGGTCCCGAAATAGTCTATTATCCGAACTTTCAATTTGTGATAATCCAATACCTGTTAATTAACCGTCTAATGCGTAAAAAGATATAAATACCCATCCCATTTTCAATAATTGAGTTTAAGTAATTTTTTAAATGATGAAAATAACCTTCACTACAATAACCTTTTTCTGTGGGTGGGAATCAATGTTCACTGTTCTAACCATCTGAATAGCACCGGTGTTGTTTAATCCCTAACTGCTCATTCATTCCTTAATAGCATCGGAGTGTCTATCCCGGATAAAAACAATCCAGACATTTTAATACTGTTTTCTTGCAGGTTCTCTAGAGAACTACTTAGCTCATCGATCAACTTAACTCGGCATCTAAACTACCTTCTACCTTGGCCCCATTCAACCCAGCATCCAAGTTACTTTCCAGTAGGAAATCCTCCGGTTCAACATATGAGTCATCAACCAGCAGGAAACTGCACGACCCAGGTACGACATAGCTACTTCCGTTCTAAATGGTGTTGAGAGTTTAATCTTCTGCTAGTGCATCATCCTCTTTGAGATGTGCCGAGGGATGTAAACTTTCATCTTTGTTCATAAAACCCTTGCCTGTTGTTTTTGGTTCTACCTCCAAAACTACAACAGAATACTCTTCCTCCCATAATTTAGATCAAACAGAAATCGAAAATTTCAAAGATAAGTGCAAATCAGGAAATATCCATCTAAATTATGCAATTGGGTTCTTTAATCAAATGCTTCTCATGCAACCCCCGCCTCCCATTAGGGTTTTCAATCTTGTCTTAGGTGCAATTGCCAAGATCAAAAACTACTTAGTTATTGTTTCTCTCTACAGAAAATTGAATCCAATCGGTGTCTCTCCCGTTATCATTTCCCTAAACATTCTATTAAATTTGTAACTCTAATCATGTTCCATTTGATTTAGCAGTTTTTGGGGAAATTCTGAAACAGGGTTACAGCCCAAACACTTTCACTTTCATATCCCTGATTAAGGGGATGTACATGGATTATGGGATCAATGAAGTTGCCCAGATCTTCCAAAAAATGATTTGAACAGGGCTACATGCCCACCGTAATCACATACGGAACTTTGATTAATTAATGGATTATGTAGGTCGGGAAACACAACCCTACCACTGAATTTGCACATAGAAATGGTGAATGTAACTGTTGGTGATCGTAGGTTTAAGCGTAACGTAGTTACGTACAATATGGTTATTGATGGCCTTTTGTAAAGATGGTTCCATAGATGAGGCTAAGGAACTCTTTGCGAGATGATGAATAGGAGGATTTCTCTTGATGTGGTTGTTTATGGGTCTTTGTGGAGATGATGGTCCCATAGATGAGGCTAGGCTCAGTTTGGAAGGAGTACAAATATAAATGTGTAGAGTGCAAAACTATGTATTATTTTGTATGTATTTGTATTGTATATATTTGTATTTATATTTCTTTTAAAGTAAACTTAAGGCTCAATTTAGAAAGAGTACAAATGCAAWTATATATAGTACAAAAATATACAAAATAATATAAAATATAAGGTTTTGCATTCTATATATTTGCACTTGTACTCTTTCCAAACAGAACCTAAGGAACTCTTTGTGACAATGAAACTGTTTAAAACTCTTGAATGTAGTGCATTTGAACCAAGTATTAAGATATACAACTGCCTAATACATGGAATGTGCAAAGCAGAAAAGCTTGAAATTGCTTAAATGGTCGGTTAGTTGACGCCACCTCTCCTCTTTCGTTCAACCCAGATCGAAGAGAAAGGGGAATATGGTAAAAAGAAAGGAAAAGGATAAAATGGTCTGAATATTATTATAAGGGTTAGTTTTGACATTATGAAATTATTTAAGTTGCACCTGACCTCACATGATGGCTCTGACTAATAGTGAATTAACACTAAGTACTGGATTGTCACAAATTAAAAGTTCGGATATTAGATTGTTGCATTTAAAAATTTGGAAACTAAATTATCACTTAAACAAGAATACAGGGTACTGATGGAGAATTTTCCCAATTACTTATTCGGGGGTGGYATGACTGGTCAAAGCTCTTTCGTACAATGTATTTTTTGTATTATAGGTTTTTCCTATGTAAAGTTATAATATACATACATACATGTAACTTCTTCAAAATTGGCTTAGGCTAATCCGACCAAAGTTGCACCCTAGTGGTAAGGGTAGGTGAGCGGTGAGCTATGCGCAAGAGTGGGTTTGCCATGGCCGAAGAGTCTATCCGTTGAAAGGTGGAAATTACAGAAAGTGACGTGGCTTCCCTGTTTCACATGGGTGATGAATTAGGTAGGAGCAATCATAATGATAATGTCTAGAACTTTGGTAGTTATGAGCATTCTAAATTGCTAAAGGTGATATTTGCAATATCAAATAAGGGCTAGTCTATTGGTTTACAAAGTTGTGATGTAGATTTCCAAACTAACTCTGATACAAAGAATCTCTCATGAGAAGCACAATAAGTTAATAAACCTAGGGTTTGTTCCCTTAAATATGAAAGGCGTGATAAGTTATGGAAGAACTGTCATATATAAATGAGATTCTGTCTTCTAATAATAGTTTTTATGGTCAAAAATGACAAATTTTCAAGTAATGTCACTACCAAACTCTCACTTAGTGCTGAGGAATTGAGGATATGTCCATTCAACTTTTGACATGGTGATGTTGGAAAATTGTGCGAGGAATGTGAGGGAGAAGGTTTTACCGGGTGAAGAATGATAGGAAGAAAGCAACCCACAAATCATATTTAGAGGGGAAAGAGAAGGGGGAACGTTTATTAAAAAAAAATCAAGGTTTTTAAAATCGAATCAGACAACGAACCATTTAGGGTTTGTTTCTCGAATCGAACGGTCTGACCATCCAAACCAAACGGTCAGTCTATTTTTGATAAAAAATAAAAAAATCAAAAACGGTCAAAAACTGTTGAACGGTTCAAATAGTTTAACCACCAGATCAGTGTTTGCTGATCAAATCAATGGTTCTTGGCCAAAAGACGATTCTGAGGTAAAACAAAACTAACTGGTTCCTGRTTTTTCTGGTCCAACCATCCAATCCGATCCAGTTTTAAAAACATTGAAATAAATAACGAGATAACCATAAAAACTAGAAAGCAAGTGGAATAGATTAAAAATGGGTCAGTTATTTAGACTATAATTTCACGTATTTATTAAAACATCCCTATAGTTTCCAAATGCGCTCTACTTTAAAATGAGTAGAAAAATGTGAAAGGACATGTATACAGGGTTTTTTTATTTCAAAAATATTATTCTCATATCAACCTTTCAAGGAAACAAAACCATCTCCCAACATCCAAACCAAACGGTCAGTCTGCAGTAAAAGGTGAATTTCATAATCCTTTTGTTGGCAAGTAAAATAAATAAAATTTACCCTATATAATAAAGGAATRATAATGACGAACCAAACCACTAACGAGTCAAACTTGATGTAAAATTTTGCCAACCCCGGCCCTACTTCAAAAGCCTAAACAAATCAGAGCTCGTGTTATTGTTTTGAAAAGGTTATAGTCAATGTCGTGATCAGAAAAGTTGTTTATCAATTAATCTAACAAACAGGGAAACTGATGAGAAACTTCTTGTCACCTTTAATTTACTGATCAAATTTTGCACTTTAATTACCAATTACTCCCTAAAAACCCCTCAAATGGTGTGTTCTGTATTCACACAATGGAAACTATCCAACAAGATCCAAGTGTTTGAAATATTCAAATCATCTTCACTCAAAATACAAGAAAATGATTTCAGATTTCTAGAATGCACTGGCATGTAAAGGGTAAACCCATGCATTTGCTTGTGGTTGAATAGATATTTGGTTAGGGTGGGGTTGTCTCATTTGGGTTTTGACATCAATTTAGGTTCAGTCAAGCGTTTATGTTTAGGGTTACTCTTGGGTTGCCCTTTAACTTGATTCAAGTGTTCAATTATGATATGGGAAAAACAACTGATCAATAAACTATAATCATAAACGTGATAATGATTCAAATGTTATTTATCAAAATTCATGGGTGGGTTTGAATTGATCAAAACTCTTTCTATACCATATCTTTCCCGTATATAGATTTTCCCATTGATTCAATCCATTTAATTTATAACTTACATTATTAGAGAGAATTGGGAAGAGTTAAGAATTAAGAGGAAATGAGATATTTAATGGGAGAATGGATATATATTAGAGAGAGAGAGAGTGTGTGTAAGCGTATCAATGGACCGGTTTTGGATTAGACCTGGTCCATTTTTAATAAATTTACATTGCATTGGGTTGGATTAAGCCAATATCTGATCCATTGATACAAGCATAAGAACATAAGTGTCAATGGACCGGGTTTGGGTTGAAACCAATCTAAATCAAAACAATTTTGAAGAAATTGGATGATCCAGACATTGAATTGGACCAGTACAAATTGATCCAAAATATTCATTGGATTGGATTGGACCTGGTCCATTTATAATTGACTCACATTGGACTAGATCGGATTGGACCAAATTTAGTCCAATTGACACTCCTATGAATGTATGTGTGTGTGTGTGTGTTAAAAATGATCTTAATTGAGTGAACAATGACGTGGGGTGGAGACCGAGCAAAAATGATCTTAATTGAGAGAGCAATGACATAGGTGGAGATCGCATTGATGCCCCACATGAACATCTCATTGTGTATTAGTAACATCTCCCATACGTATCATTAGGAGATGTTCCCAACACATACTTGGGATGTGCTGTGGGGCACCCATGGGGTGCGCTCTGTGGGGTGCACATGGGGTGGGGACAGGGCAAAAATGATCCTAAATGAGAGAGCAATGGCACGAKGTGGGGACAGAACAAGGTGCACATGAGAGTCTGCCGTTGCCCCAGTTTGATCCCATACCCTCTTTCTGAGGGATGGTGAATGACCATCCAAATAACTGGGTCATAATCAAGATGAGATCACATCTCCGCCCTACAAGGAGCTGGATGTTTCCAATACACGGCGGGAATGTGCTGTGGGGCGGAAATGGGAACTCAATCAAGATAAGGTTTTTATTATGACATTTTTAATTTTTAATAATTTAACTTAAAAACAAATAACCCATGCATCATGTGTCAGAAAATGAGAGGAGGAGGTCTACGTGAGCATTGAAGTGAGTTGGCTTTGGCCTTTGTCCTCAGTATAATATGGATATATATGTTTTAAAATAGGGATGCCGACAGGGTAGTTTCATTTCATGCTTGCCTTCACCACCCAGCCCTCCAGGCCTCCGATGTCTTCACCCAAACCTGAACCGAGCAACAATACCATGTGATTTCTAAACTCGCATCAGCTTAAAAGGTTCGACCAATACCAAAGGACCTGACCCACAGTCTTTCTATTATATACTCTTTATAATACATCTTGAAAATTCAAAGTCATTAATTTAAGTTGAAAATTGGTTAATGGGTCCCATGATGTCACTTCCTCTATTGTCAAACAACAGGAATCAAAACCATGTAAAGAAACCCTAAACTTTAAATTTATAGGATTAGAAGTAGTAGGGGTGCAATTTGGACAGATAAGGACTGGAATTTTGTCAAAATTTCAATAGGTCTCATCACCCAAGCCTAAAACAGTGTAAAATGTTAATTTAGGCCATCCCAGTTGAGTACACCCCTCAATATATATGTAATATGTAGGGGTATGACGGTATGATGAATGGTGGTGAGGGTAGTAAAGTTCGAACCAGACTCAGATTGAAGAACTGAAACCCTAACTTAACCCTGAATAAGCCTTCTGATTCTAACTTGATCTCATAGATTTGTCATTTAATCCGATTCATTGACATCCCTTTTCTAGAACATGGTTAATTTTCTTTTCTTTCTTTTTTTTTCTTTTTTTCTTTTTGTTATTTTTAGGCTGTCTTTGGTTTGACAGAAGAGAGAAGCAAAAATGACTTAAAAAAGTTGCAAATTTGGAATTCCTTCAACTCAAGAGTTTAGGGCCTTTAGGCAAATAACACCTTAGAATATTATTACCTATGTCATTAACGTAGAATTATACATGCCCACATTTGGTAATTTTTATCTTGACTCAAAATTTCTCAGATTCAAACCATGATTGTCTGGTTGGCATATATAGGTGCTCAAACCGGTGGTCCAGCGGCCCAGACAGCTTGACCGGATCCATGGACCCTGGCTATGGTCGTTTCATCAAATGGACCACATGGTTCGATCGTTAAGCCCCCCGCCACCCAGTCGGTTTTTTCGGTTTAACATGGCCCGACCCGATGCAATGTTAACCATTGGAATGAAAAGCCTACAACGTCATGAAATTGCACGTTGAGCTCCTGGTATATGTCCTGTATAGCGCGTATTCTCTCAACAGTCAAAAGGCCGTCTCGTCTCAGGCTCTCAGGTTCATGGTTGATGGTTCAAACTCAAACCATCATCCATCGATGCTCTCAGCCTCTCACCTTACCTGCCATGATAAATTATTAGAAAAATTCGTCGTTGAGAAACATAATAATTTGATACTATTTAGAAACAGTTGTTACAAAGAAATTAAGATTTAATACACAGTAATTTACTGGTGGTCATGGCCATGGATATATATACTAGTAATGAATCGGTGGGGGCGGTGGTGGCGGCGGCGGCGGAGGTGGACTCGGAGAACACCCAAATGCATCGCAATGTATAGGATGGGATAGGAACGCTACACATTCCTCCGGTGACCGTTGAGACGGACGATATGGGATACAATTCTTCCGGTCGTTCTTGTGCTTTAGCTTGAGACAGATTGGTGGTTCTCCGCAGAAGTAGTTATACGAGTACGTGAAATTCTTCAACCTCGGCAAATGGCATATACTTTCTGGGATCTCACCGGTAAGTTTGTTGTGAGCCACGTTCAGCTGCTCCAGGCTCTTCATTCCTCCCATTGTATCCGGCAACGGCCCCGTCAAGTTGTTAAAGCTGACGTCGAAAACCGTTACGTTCTTCAGAAGTCCAATCTCCGGTGGCACACACGATGTTAGACCGGCATTCATGAGAATAATTTCATTCAGTCCAACCATGTTTGCCAAACTTGAAGGCAGGCAGCCGCCGAGCTTGTTATTTGCCAAGACAAGCACCGACACCGGGGAGTTGCCGATATTTCTGGGCAGGGAGAATTTAAACCTGTTGTTGTTTATGAAGAGTGCGTCGAGCTTCAAGTCGAAGAGGCGGGTAGGAACGTCACCTTCAAATTGATTGTATCGGATGTCAAGATATTTGAGTGAAGGGAGGCAAAGGACAACAGAAGGGAAGGGGCCTGTGAATCGGTTATTGCTAACATCGAGCTCGTAAAGAAGGTGAAGGTTCCGAAAGCTTTCAGGGATGGTTCCACAAAAGCGATTGGAGTTGATGTGGAAGACAGCCAGGTCGGTGAGGAGTCCAAGCTCCTCCGGCAAGGAACCAGAGATGTCGGCATGGTTCAAGTCAATTCCGGCGACCGTTGTTATATGAGGGTCATCTGGGGCTGGTGCACAGTACACTCCGGTGTAGTTGCAGACATGGGGACCACACCAGTTTGCARTGAAGTTCTTTGGGTCGGACAGAATTGCATGTTTCCATGCCTGGAGAGCTGCGTAGGTAGTCAGGAGTCTTGGGTTTGGGAGAGGTGGAAGTGGTTGATGATGAGAGGGTTCAGAGAAGAATRCAAGGACAGATAAGAAGCCACAGAGGGCTGAACTGAGAAATCTGTTCCTCATTTTGCCTCGGTGGCCTGATATCTGGGGAAAGGTTTGAGTGGAGATTTATATGGGCATGATTACTTGGTCACTAATGAATTAATATTAAAGAAGAGAGAAAAAAAATAAAAAAGATAAAGATGAAGACTTGGGGGGGCTGAAAGGCTTTTGGGTGGGTAATTGGAATAATTAATTAACCTAGAATCTGATTTATGATTTATATGTGATGAACAAGACACAGATTGACCATTTGAATCAGTAATCTCCCACAGGAAAGAGCTTAATTTTATGAATTGAAAACTAAGACACGGAAATGGAAACCTGTATTTCAACTAACATGGATTTTTAGATAAGTGGAGAGAGAGAGAGAGATCTCACTTGACATGCCTCAGCAAGAGAGCAAGATGGGACCGGAACCGCAGCAGGTCTTTCAAAGTCTTGGGGCGAAGGAGAGTCAGGTTTTAAGTAGCTGTTAATATGTCAATTCTCAACCACTCGGGTACTGTAGTCCATTCAAGCATCCTTCCATACAATTTCTTCTTCTTGTTTTCTTGGTTAATATAGATACCCACCATGAATTTAGGGGGGTCGGGACACTTAACCCCCTAGCTAACTTTGTTTTGCAACAGAGACTCCTGCACTCTTTTATTTCCATGTCACTGTCATGTGTTTATACAAATTTTAAAACCCCAAACTACCCTTTATATTATTTTTAAGACCATTATTTTGCTGACTAACACCCTGTATGGAAATATTAGTGAATAGTGAATGAACCATTCATCTCCAATGCCTTTAATGAGTGATTTATTTTTAAATACTATGCTTTGCAATGGATAACTTTCTTTAAATTTAGGGTTCAACTATGATGCATTCACTAATATTAATTGCATGTTAAATCCATATATCAATCAGGTTAGATTTTTACCATCAATCAATTGGTATCATAAAAGAGGTGATCAATTAGGTTGTATTAATCAAAATTCAAGAGGGTGCTTTGATTGGTTACTTTTACCACACCTTGTTTATCTGGAATCATAGATTTTCCCATCAATCATGTTAAAGTCTAATTATGTCTTTTGCTACAAGTGCAACAAATATACTATATTATTGTTGTCCATCCTTTGAATCTTGAATGAACAATTTGATAATTTCATTTTTTATCGTTAACCCCATCAAACCATCTGGGGCAAAATGCTGGAATTTAGAAATACAGAGTCTTTGTTGAAAAACATAAAAGTCACTTGTTTAATTTAAAACCCACTTGCATAGTGAGGTTTGTTTTAGAGAAGGTGAAGTAAGAAAATCAAATAATAAAGGATTAGTAATAAAGAAAACAGAGGCTTTAACTAAAAAAGGAGAACAAGAAAGATGAAACCAAATGAAACAAGAAAACAAAACAATAATGACAATGATTAATGTCTAAAAAAAGAATGTAGCAAAAGATGAATAAAAGCAAACAAGTGAAGCTAACAATTAAGAAAAGAATATGGTATATTGATAGATTAGAGAGTAGAGAGAGTACACATATATAGCAATTAAACACAAGGTTCAAAATATGATACATTGCGAATTGATACAACTTTTCATGTCTTTTTTTTATTTTTTTTCCGCAATTGGTTTAGGGCTCCTTCACCCTCTGAACCGGTCAGACCCCTGATACACCCACTGTAGGGGCATACCAGAGGGATCCCGGAATGATATGTATTGATCGATACATATCAATACTTTGAACCTTAATTAAATCGCATGTTAATCATTAAATTAGTTATGTTTTTATTCAAGAAATAAATGTTAAATTAATTTTAGAATGTTGGGATTGCAGGGAAGAAAGAAAAACTATCAACAAACAAAACTATTTAGCATGGTTTATTGCTTTTAATATTCACTGTATTTTATTTTAATTTCCTAATTAGGTGAGACGAGATTGAAGTTCAAACTTCAAACCAAACGAGCCTCACAGTTGAGGCTATGCGTGCCGACCAATTTAGGTACAGGTTCGACATCAGAAAGTTGTTTAATAGGCACTGAGCATTAATCTTTTCTCCTCTATTTGGACTAAAGGATACCTTTTTTGTTCGTTGGCATTCTGTATTCTCTAGATATATATTATCGTATTTCGTTTTTACATTATTCCGACGGGGGGTTGGAGAAATGAAATGTTGACAAAGAATCCATTACCAGATTGGGACTCTTCACTGTGTACCTTTTATAATTGATGATGGTAAATTATTTGCTTTATTTTGCTTTCTTGATTCTCAAGGTTCAACATAAGAAGACATATGCTTGGCAAATTAATTAAGAATTGCATATTCCTATAAGCCCGTTTACGGTCGGGCTTTACATCTTTATTAATAGAAAATATTCAGATCCAAACCCGATCCGAATAGGAACAAGAAAAATTTATTATATATTACTAAGAAATAATATTATTATATATTATTTTTTATCAAGGTTTAAAATATTGATACATCCGATATTAAACAGTATCAATACTTTTTTTTTTATTTTTTTCAAATCTGGTTTAGAAGGGCCGGTTTAAGATCCATCCACCCTCTGAACCGGTCGAGACCCAAAACATCCCCTGTAGGGGCATATCGAGAAACCCCAATACGATATGTATCAATATTTTAAACCTTTCTTTTTATTAATATATTTTATTATATAATATTATTAGATCAGACTTATTTACAATCCCCCTCAGAAATTGAATTTGCAGCCCCCTACTAGTCTACTAGTAGCCTCCCCTATAAACTGCATCCTGCCCATGAATTTGACATCAATCCACGGCAGGATTCAGTCCACCCCTAGTCTACTAGTAGCTCCACCTAGGAGTGGACTGAACGGTAAAAAAACCTTAAATTTTAATCTCTCTCTGAGCCAGGGTGATGGGTTTTGGTGCAAACCCATTTCGGAGCTCTTTGGCTAACTTAGGGACATCCAATAGTTTGTGTTGTTAATAAGTCATGAACACAAGATTAAGCAAGGTCTATAACTCAGTGGGGCAGATAGATTTTATACTCTCTATAGCAACCACTGAAACATTGATCTTTAGCAGACTGGGAATTCTGGACGAAAGAAAATTGCTTGAAACCAGCAAAGCTCTGCGGTTTTCAAGGTTCTTCAGTCAGTTCCTAGCTCCTCCAATTTGAGCCTTAGAACAAGAAAAGGAAAATGTGTATTGCGAAGGTTTTAAGAAGCAATGGCTTAAGGATGCACAACATATGCTACAGAATCCCATGCATGCTCACATGAAAAAAAAGTTGCAAACCAAGAACAAGATCATCACCTTCGTCATAATGAAATTCTTGTTAAGATGATTCAATTCAAGTCATTACCACATTTATAAATATTTGGCTCTCTTAATTCGACTCTTTCTTGAAATAACAAACTCTCTAAAAATAACAAATTTCATCCAAATCATGGATTGCATTGGATTTAACAATTTTAAATGGGATGGGCTTGGATTTTTGTCCCAAAGCATGGCTTTTTTTTTGGGGGGGGGGGGTTGGCCTTGGCCTAGCTCTTATGTAATCCGTGCCTGATCTGATTATACATGTATACATATATACGTACATTTACATGTATACATACATATATATACACACACATATATATATATAATATTAGTGTGGGCTAATTAATTAGTCTGAGCCTGGCCCAGGCCTAAATCCAACCCAAACACATTAAATTTCAGTGCAGGTTGGACCTGGACTGGACATGACCTTAGGCATGAACTATAAGCCAATTCTTAGGGTTGGGGCTGAGTTGAGCTTCACATATTTTGCCTTTACAAATTGTAAGTAACACCTGGTGAATACTATTAGTAAAAGATTCGTGTAGATACATGCATGCATATATACTTCTTAATTGGGTCAAGTATGGAGTCTCTTTATAAATGGCCTCTAAACCGATATTTGTGTCATTAAGAGGAACGAGCAGGCTCCTTTTAGAGGTCAAGTCATGTCCTATAGTTAGAATTATTTCCTATAATGTTCAGTTTGGAAAGAGTATAAATACAAACATGGTGGTTTTAGAGATATTTTATCCACTTTCTTTGGTTGCAGAAGTTCTTCTGATTTATGCACCTCCTTTCAAGTAGAAATAAAGGTGCTTTGAGATTGAGTTAAGACTTGCATTAATCATGGTTATCTTAATATTGAGATTGAATGTGATAACTCTACAGTGGTAAGCCTTTTCAATTCATCCATTATTCCATGGAGTATTCATTACTATGTAGTAGAAATTAAAAAGCTTCTTGACTTCTGCAACTTCTCTTTAAAACATGTGTACCATGAAGCGAATAGACCAACCGATTACTTAACTAAAATGAGCGAGTTGCTAGAAGGATTCACCAGTTTCAATGCCATTTCACATACCCAGATCAAGTAAAAAAGTTAACTTTTGAAGATCTTATAGGTCTGCCCAATTTAAGAATTAGATAATCTTTTTTGTATTTTCCTTTTGGGCTGGGCTGAGAGACTTAGGTTGAGAGATTTGTATCTTGCATTTGGGGCAAGGCGGGCTATGTCCTCCCCTGTAATATCTTTTTATATTTGATATTGATTAATAAATTTTTAAGGTGGCCACCCCTCCACCTGGAGTAAAGTTTGGGGTTAAAAAAAAGGTTATTTCGATTCTCCTACATCCATCTCTTTATTTTATTCTTCTTGAGAATTGTATCTAAACTTTAATTGGCCTTGTTGGCATTTCTTTGTATCAATTTCTTGAATGAATGAAATATAATTTAAACTTTAAAAAATAAATAAATAAATACAAATATATACAATATAAATATATAAAAAATAATACAAAATACAAGGTTTTATACTCTATATATTTGCGTTTGTACTTATTACAAATTGGGCCTAAATGACTTGATTAATTAGTACTCTCACTCCCATGTGTACAGCAACCTTGCTATTCATTGATGTGAGTCTCTATGTATGCTGCACAACAATTTTCCATGGACTAGAGGGCAATTTATTTTTGCTATGAATTTGAAGGTTATAAAAAAATAAGTTTAAAGAATCTGGAAACAAATAGCCATTTGATGAAGTCATAGTTGAAAATGAAAATAGACAACAAAAAGGATTATCGT